CTAGAGTATGTGAAAATAAGGGTATTCACTGACCGGATGATCTGAATGAGAGAGAGAGAGATGCAGAGCAGGGGGACGCGAGGAACAGTATTAAGAACTGCTGCTTTAGAACATTGATTTTGAATCTTGTGAATCCATTAGAATCGTTAGAAGACAGAATCGCGATTCATATATGAATAGATTTTTACGTGCACCTCTAGTTTTCTCTTCCTCTTCTCTAAAGCAGCGCAGCATGGCCTCGCCCCCTTTGCTGCCTTTTCCCGAGGGCGGGGTTTATCTGGGTTTGTGATGTCACGAACCCGGGAAGTAACTCGTTGTAGTCCCTACCAGCTGTTTTTGTAGGCATTAAACTGCCAGAATTTTAAAAGACGACATCTCCATTTGCATTGAACTTTCAGCTTCGTAACTTTGCAGATATTGTTTATGCTCAAACAGAAACATTATACACTAACTAACGTTAAAAAAGTGAAATCGCAATCAACCACCCCTTTAAAGTGATGAGTAATCACTGTCCCAATGTGCACTGAGCCAGGATACTTACCAGTGACCGGATTCGTGTACACAATATACAGATTTAGGAGCTAGGGAGCTGATTGAGACGCACCCCATGTGAATGTTTATGAACAAGAGGATCATGCAGAACCTTTGCAAACACAAATTTAAGGGGTTTTGGAACCGAGGTGGAAGAAACAGCATCTCTTCGACATGGCAACAACGCGCTACTAAAGCAGCTCCTCTTTGTCTTCTCTAGCGCAGCTCAACCAGGCATTGCCCGTGGGTGGGGATTATTTAAATTAGTGACATTGTGACTTCACACTATCCGTAAGAAGCGCACTGTAGTCCAAACAAACTGTTTGTTGTAATTCTTGAAACATTTTTTACCATGGCTCTTGATGATTGAGGATCCCAGAAGAACACCTCCCAGTGTTTAGATGTTCTCCTTAACCACATTTTTTTTGTGAAATTATGGAAATTGGTGGGTGTAATTGTGACTTGCAGAAGCATAATGTACAGATTGAGGAGGGTGGCGCTAGTTTCAATTCCATCTCTGAGGTGTGGAGAAAATTGGCCATTTTTACAGCTTTAAGTACTGTAGATGTTATAAACACTTATATGATTATCCAATCTTTTCCATGAACTAAGGGTGTCGGGTAACTTCACGGTTAATTATTTGAACTCCGTACATTTTTAAGGTTCGCTCCTAGGTGCATCCCAAAAATTGCATAATCACCCTTGGGCCCTTGAGCAAGACTTGCTTGCACCAGGTGGACTTTCCCTCCGAACACTGTACAGTATGTCCTTTGGATGAAAAGTTTTGTGAGGGAGGCTGCTCACTAACTGTTAGCTGCTGATGTGCATTAATAATCTTTACCTCATGCTTAACTTAGTCCTTTGATGTGGAGCTGTCTTCAATTTGTGATACATTTTATGCCTGTGTTGACAAAGTGTGCTCGAGCGCATCAAACGTCTTTGTTCTGCACGCAAAGCAGCATGTGTTTTAAATTTAGCTTTGTCCTGTAAATCCCAAAGTCTTCTGGATTTCCTACACAGCACATTATCTCGGCATTTCCTGCATGTCATGCTCAAAAATGGAAGTTGATCTTCAGAAGCGGAGTAAAAAAAAAGTAATTTAAATGCAGAAGGTACATCTTAACAAACTTTTTGGCCCATAATATGTAATTTAGGCTTTATTCATTTAAAAGATGCATTCATCCAAAGTAATTTACAAGTAATGAAGAACAACATGAATAGCAAGTGATTTAATGCAACAATATTGTCTATGTTGTTTGAAGTTCTGCAGTTGGTACAATTGGTAGTCATTAATAAATCCATTTTACATACATTGTGTCATTGAGGTAGTGCTGGGCGGTATACCGGTTCATACCGAATACCGGTGTTTATTTTTGTTATAATACGAATTTTTAAAATACCGCAATACCGGTGTTTGTCGATTAAACAACGTTCGGAACGTGACACTGTTTGAAAGGGGTCCCTTTTCACTGTTGCACTGTGGTGAGGGAACAGCTGTATGTGTTACTAAGCGTGAAAGTTCCGAAACTGAAGCTGTAGAACTAATAGAACGTGATGACACAGAAGAACTCATCCACAATATCCACA